TATATATATATATACCTCGCCGGGTGTTGCGTTAGCTGGCTGAGTGCCGCTATGGCCGTGGGCGAAGGAGTCGTCCCCAGTCAGTGATGTATTTAACCAAGTAAGGTTATATCTAAATCTAATATACTTCTGGAAGCGAAGACTAGCTCGAGGGTCTGGGTAGCGTAACTGGTAAGCGCGCCGCACGGCAAGCGGAGGCTGCGGGTTCGAGTCCCGCCCCGGGCCAGTTCTTTTATTCCAGAAGATTCTAAATTTATTTATTGATTTATTTATTTAATTTTAATTATTAATTTAATTAAGAGATGGCGCCTAACGTCTACCTCTAGTGTCAAATTACTTTATTCCAATCATTTAATTAGCCATATTATAGCCCGATATTTAGGCGATCGTTTGGTGATGATATTTACTACTCGGGCTATGAGTTGTTGATATTTAGATTTTTTCATACTTTTCGGTTATCCGCCCTTTCAATTATCTGACCAACCCCAGTCCCCAATAAGGTCGGATAATCGAGGCTCTACTGTAATATTACTTTATTTTTCATTTTCAATGTAAAAACTGTTTTATTTATTAATATGATAAAACTGCTATCATTTGTTCTATATTATTATGATTTAATAATAAGAAAGTTTGTTAGTGTTCTATTTATAGGACAGATGTTTTATGGCATTCATATAAGTACTCTGTACCATTTAAATATCAGTTTCAGTTTCTTGTTTTGTAATAATTTTATCTGTATTAAATTTACAATCCACTTTTTCATTCTTTATCTCTCTTTAAAGAATGATTTCACATTAATCACTATATAATGTAATAAGATGATGTTTCTAAAAATATATACATATTTTTAATCCAAAAAGTTTAAAAAATATTTTAATTTTTCTAAAAATAAAAAATTTTTATAGGCATATTTTCTAATTACATTCAATTAACATGCAGTTCAGATTTTCCTTGAATCATAATAAAATATTTTTCAAGTAGTATATACAGTAATGTACATTAAGTTTTTGAAAAATGTAGGAAATATAATATGGGAATTGTGGTTTTTAATTATTCGTTACAAATAATAAAATTTGTAATGAATAATTAAAAACTGTATATTGTGCAGTTGATTTGTAATGATATAAGAATATTTTAACATTTTAACTTTTTTGATCAAGAGTTTTGGAATGAAATTCTGCTTTAATAATTGTAAATGATGGGTATTTTTGACTCATCATAACATGTAATTAAAATAATAATAATAATATAATATATAAGTGAAAAATAAAGTATTTTTGCATTATACATTTTAAATCATTTTACATATTACAAGGGTAGGCTGAAAAGTAATGCACACATGCTTGTAGAACACGAACAAAAACAAATAGCAAGATCGGGCAAAAAGTACATTAAAGTACAATTCTTAAGCTTTGATCAAAATCATATATTTATTTTTTAACATAGTCACCATTAAGGCTAACATATTTCTCCCAACGTGTAACAAGTTTTTTCATTTTGACACTGAAAAATTCTTCCGACTTTTCTCGAATCCAGGATTTGACAGCTGCCTTCACCTCATCGTCCAAGGTGTAATGATTACCCTTGAGGTTTCTCTTGAGTAGAGGAAAAAAATAAAAATCGCAAGATGCAAGATCAGGGGGAATAAGGAGGACATGAAATTGGTTCAAACTTCAGATTTCGCAGAGCCTCTCCAGTTGCATGCTAGGTGTGTGGACAAGTGTTGTCATGTTGCAAGATTATTGGTGCCAGGCTGCCTCTAATACAATAAATAATCATCTGGTGCCAATAATCTTGCAACATGACAACACTTGTCCACACACCTAGCATGCAACTGGAGAGGCTCTGCGAAATCTGAAGTTTGAACCAATTTCATGTCCTCCTTATTCCCCCTGATCNAACAAAAAAAATTATACTTTAGAAGTTAATCTAGTATCAAAAACGTTCGATTCAGCATGACACACAAAATTGCCAGTTTTGCCAGCTAAAACACACACATCAATCAAAAAAATATTGGAGTAGCCCAAGATATAGCCAAAGATTGAGGCGCCACAGCACTAGCGAAAATTTAAATTTGCCGACTGGAATTCTTTCGGATAACCGACTTTTGGATAAACGACGCTCTACTGTAATTGTAATTTAAATGGCATCATTTATCATTTTTCAATTTTCATTTTAATAATTTTGATTTCATATGTTTGTGTAAATTGTATAAAAGATATTGAAATTATTTTTATTTATTATTTAAATAGGAAGTAGTTGCAGCTTCTAGAGAAACTGCTAGAGAAGAGGAAAATAGAAGACAGAAATCAGAATATTGGGAAAATCAGTCTATGTTTGAAGGAGAAGCAAAAAAAGAAAATTATGATAAATTAAATTATCATTTTGATGATAATGGAGATCATCATTCAAATTCTTCAGTTTCTCTTATTGAACGAAATAGTCCATCTAAGGTAATATAATTATCAAGTAGAATATTTCATTTGAAATACAATAGTTATCTTTTTATAGACATAATTAAGTTAATTACTTGTTTTCTGACTTTTAAACTGATGAAAAAGACTGATATTATGTATTTAATTCATTTACATTTTCAAAATTATTTGATAACCACTTAATATTCAATAGTATACAATATAATATCAATTTAATCACAGGTTTTTATTTTATTTTTCTTTAAGATTTAAATATGTAGATTATGAAAGTTTTCTCTATGGTCTTTATATTAGATTAGTTTTCTTATTGTTTTCATTACATAACATTGATTTTGCTTTACTTTGATTTGTTTATGCATATTGAAAATTTCAAATTATTTTCAAATTTTCAGTGTTTTAAATATTTCTAAATTTTAAAACACTAAAGTAAAAATTAAAAAAAAAGTAATAATCTGATTTATCTATTTTATTTATTTTGAATAAAATCATCAAAAAGTTTGTTAAATGAAAACAATTGATGTACTGAATTTTAGCATCAGTTTGTACAATGTGTCCTGTAGAGTTACTCAAAATCAAAGAAAAGTTTAATTGGACTCAAATATAGGTCAAGAGTGATTTTTTTTTCTTTTTTTTGCTCCTTTAAAATTGAGGAAAAGCTTTGACTAATATTTGGACCAATACAGTACTTAAACTAGCTCTAGCTTGAATCTGGCTTTATCATTTGATTAATACAGTATACTCCCAATAATCTGGGCTAATCACTGGAAATGGAGGCATGGATAATGCAGAAATGCAGATAATCTGCAAGTTTGTCTTAATGAAAGCTAATTGATTTTTCTTTTATTTAGTTTTTAATTTCATACTAAATTTAACAACAGTTTATGTTATGAATAAAATGTGTTTTGAGAATGACAATTTCTTAATTAATAAGCTTTTGATCATAGAACCATAATACTGTTCTTTAGTTGAATTTAAGATTTTTAAATAATTTCTTTTATGTAGAATTTAATATATTAAATATAAATGCTTAATTTCCTACGAAACTATTTTTTATTACTATTTGTTTTTCTCAAACTTTTTGCATTCTCTCAGAATAAGTTGAAATAAAATTATTTATTAGTCTGATTTAAACTTTTATGATAAAAATAGATATATACCATGTTTTCTTACTTCTCATGCACCATTGAATTTTATGTGCATCCAGTTTTCAACATCAAAACTCAAAAAAACTTAGCTTGCAAGTGTAATGCACATGCTATATTACAGAAGTTAACATATTCAAACAGCAAATAATGCATTTTTCAAAAATGCTTAATTGTTAGGTGCTTCATGATATTCACATTTCCAAATTTATTCATTTATGACTCTATTATCAAGTACAGAGGATCTGCCAACCAATACATAATCACAGTCAAAATTACCTACAATCAAAGTTTTAACACAGAGATTTTACATCTATATGCATCAACATTAAATTTTCTACTGAAATATGAAATATGCTGGTCTTTCCCTTTTATGCGTGACATGCCTGTCATTCTGCAAAAATATGGTGTGTATGATATTGTATATAAGACCTGTAAGTTGTATGTCCTGCATTTCCATTTTTCAGTAGATGGTGTTACTGCCTGCTCACAGATGTTCTGGAATGCCTATCCACATTCATCCAGATACAGTTGACAGAAAAGAGAGTGAGAATGCAGGTCTGTGTTGGCTGAGTGATAATGATGCTGATGATTGAGCAGTGAATATTCAGATGAATCATGTGTTTTGTAATAATGGAAAATTTACAGATATCATACAACAAAGATTTGCCCAGCAATTTCCAGATGCACAGGTGCCCCACTGTAATGCAATGCAAAATTTGATAGCCAAATTTTGTGAAATGAGTAGGGCTGTGGAGTTGCTTAAAAATCTACCGACTCCAACTCCGACTTTTCCTTACCAATCAGACTCTGACTCCGGCTAAAACACCAAAACTCCACGACTCCGACTCCGAAGCCCTGGAAATGAGTAATGTTGCAGATGCTTCCTGAATTGGTAGGCCTTCAACCTCAAAAGGGAGAATTTTTTAAATCTAGGACATGATGCTGAAGAGCTTTACTTAAATGTTTTCTATTGCACAGTAACTTTTTGGATATGTTTTATATCAATTGCCATATTAAAACATTTTGAGATTTTAAAAATACTGTTTTAGTTATGCAATATGAATTTGAGAGAACAATCTGTAATACTTTTAATAATCTAATCTAACAGAGAGAAATTTTCCAAATTACAAATTATTTTAACTCTTAATTCTTGAAACTCCTCATAATTACCTTTCATATCCTTAATTTATGAACAGATGTTAATAAACAAGACTAAAACTAAAAGCAAAGTGCAAAAACTTATAAATAATTGCAATTTAAATGGTATAATTTATCATATCAAAGCTTTCACTTTTATGCTGGAAAATTTTATTTATAGCAGTCTCAAAGCATTTTTTGGCCTTATTTATGAGCTCATGTCAGGTGTTATATCTTTTCATTTTAGAATAACCCAATTCTCCAAATGCTTTCAAATCAAATTTTACAATTGGATCATATATTGCCAAGGCAATTGCTTGTTTGTTTAAACAATAGGTGCATGGTTGAATTGACACATGAATAAATGAAAGGTTCACAGAATAGTGAGTACTAAACCAGATGAGTTAGGAAAATAGCTTCTTTTTCATGAAGTATTAAGTAAATTTTGCTATTCACCCTGCAGATGATAATTTTTATGTATCTCTAAATGAAATATTTTCTTTAAATATGTATATCTCAAAATATAAACAGAGAATAAAGCTGTGCTAAACCAATATTTTGATGTTGTGCTTAATAATGAGATTGCTTTGATGTATCAGAATCAATTACCAAAATACTGCATACCAATACTGCAATTCATATACCAAAATAGCAGAGCAAGTATCAAATACAGTCGACCCCCTATAAGATCATAGATACATTCCATTCTTTAGGAATCCGATTTCTTATGAGTCCTTCCAATCACAGCCCGACACGTGTCAAGTTTACGGACTACGGCTGTTTGAAAGGTTTTCTTCCATAAAATTAATCGATTCTAGACTAATCTGACTCAACATTTTCAAAATACGTATATTTTTTTTGGGAATAATCCGTATAAACTACGCTATTAACAAAAAATTGTAGGATTACTTACCGAGTGTGCACCATTCGACATCGCCATTGCTCAAGCTTGTTTTTGTCGCGAAGAGCACACCAAACCGCGGCCGATTTCTGATAACTTATTTTTCTGCGAAAACTTCGCTGAACTTTGGAGACATCATTAATATAAATAATTTTTATGGCCGTTGAATAAGAAATGTTTCTTTCACAAGAAATGTATAAAANAGGGAATGAGTAATCAAGAGTTGCGTGGTGCTCAAACAAAAGACGAATCGACGAGATTATAAAAACAAAAAAAATTATACTTTAGAAGTTAATCTAGTATCAAAAACGTTCGATTCAGCATGACACACAAAATTGCCAGTTTTGCCAGCTAAAACACACACATCAATCAAAAAAATATTGGAGTAGCCCAAGATATAGCCAAAGATTGAGGCGCCACAGCACTAGCGAAAATTTAAATTTGCCGACTGGAATTCTTTCGGATAACCGACTTTTGGATAAACGACGCTCTACTGTAATTGTAATTTAAATGGCATCATTTATCATTTTTCAATTTTCATTTTAATAATTTTGATTTCATATGTTTGTGTAAATTGTATAAAAGATATTGAAATTATTTTTATTTATTATTTAAATAGGAAGTAGTTGCAGCTTCTAGAGAAACTGCTAGAGAAGAGGAAAATAGAAGACAGAAATCAGAATATTGGGAAAATCAGTCTATGTTTGAAGGAGAAGCAAAAAAAGAAAATTATGATAAATTAAATTATCATTTTGATGATAATGGAGATCATCATTCAAATTCTTCAGTTTCTCTTATTGAACGAAATAGTCCATCTAAGGTAATATAATTATCAAGTAGAATATTTCATTTGAAATACAATAGTTATCTTTTTATAGACATAATTAAGTTAATTGCTTGTTTTCTGACTTTTAAACTGATGAAAAAGACTGATATTATGTATTTAATTCATTTACATTTTCAAAATTATTTGATAACCACTTAATATTCAATAGTATACAATATAATATCAATTTAATCACAGGTTTTTATTTTATTTTTCTTTAAGATTTAAATATGTAGATTATGAAAGTTTTCTCTATGGTCTTTATATTAGATTACTTTTCTTATTGTTTTCATTACATAACATTGATTTTGCTTTACTTTGATTTGTTTATGCATATTGAAAATTTCAAATTCTTTTCAAATTTTCAGTGTTTTAAAACACTAAAGTAAAAATTAAAAAAAAAAGTAATAATCTGATTCTAATAGTAATGTAATAAAGGAGCTCGCTCTACAAAAGTTTGTTAAATGAAAACAATTGATGTACTGAATTTTAGCATCAGTTTGTACAATGTGTCCTGTAGAGTTACTCAAAATCAAAGAAAAGTTTAATTGGACTCAAATATAGGTCAAGAGTGATTTTTTTTTCTTTTTTTTTGCTCCTTTAAAATTGAGGAAAAGCTTTGACTAATATTTGGACCAATACAGTACTTAAACTAGCTCTAGCTTGAATCTGGCTTTATCATTTGATTAATACAGTATACTCCCAATAATCTGGGCTAATCACTGGAAATGGAGGCATGGATAATGCAGAAATGCAGATAATCTGCAAGTTTGTCTTAATGAAAGCTAATTGATTTTTCTTTTATTTAGTTTTTAATTTCATATTAAATTTAACATAACAGTTTATGTTATGAATAAAATGTGTTTTGAGAATGACAATTTCTTAATTAATAAGCTTTTGATGTGATCAGAGATGAATAAAACTTTTGATGTAAACAGAAAATTCAGGAAAATTTATTGAACTACTGTCCACAGTTCACTATGAATTTCTTGTATTATTAACTGAGAACGAAGGTTGCCAGCTAGGTAGTATCATAAAATGTCATTAATTTTGAAATATTAATGATTTATTGTTAAGGAAATTATTCAAAATATTTTCTTAAAACAATTTTACAACTTATTTAATATAAAAAAAAAAATACAGTATACACAAGTAAAGCTGTATTGTTCAAGAATCAATGGTGCTTACTGTACTTGTTAGGCCATTTAATTTAAGTAGTTCTGGAAGTCCTTGACTTTCTGAAAGTAGTTCTGTTTCTCACTATACCATTTTAAATAGCAGGAATTAACAATACAGATTTTTTTTATTTTAATACTAATTTTTGTATTTCTGATGTAAATTTTTATTCAGACATAAGCATGCATGGATATTTCGCAAGTCAGATAATCCCCACACAGATAATCAAGAGTATACTGTAAGAGTATAATTCTGATGTAGTTTCATATAAATTTAAGTTTTTGTATGTGTGTGTGTGTGTGCGTGCTTATATTATGTAAACACTGTTGAAAAATTATGAAAAATTCAAGAAAATATTAAAATTAAAATAATAATAATTTTTTAATATTGTTTGCCATCACCAGAGGGTGTTTTTATCATTTTTACATATTGAGGCAGACAAGTAGCCCCAAATGAAAGGTTGACTCTGTCGTGGAATTGTTATTTTCCTCGTGCATGTGAAAGGATAAGTGAGAAGACACATTTTTTGTATTGTCTTTTTTTTTTTTTTTTAAGAATTTTCTTAAATTTTCTAAAAATTTAATATTAATCTTTTCATTTACAAAATTTATAATTTATTAGTGATACTAAACACCAGCCAAGTTGTGACCTGTCGTGTTGTTGCACCCTGCAACTTTGTGTGGGAATTAAGGGTTTTGCATAATTGAAAATAATTGATTAGTCAATTGTTTCCAAACAACTAAACTAAGCAAATTATTTTTACTGTATTCAACAGAATCAATCAGTTTTGGAACTTCTACAGAAATTTTATATGGTAACTTTTTTATTTTACTCCTGAGAATCTTTAGTAATCAAGCAATCATTAAAAGTTGAGGGGAAGGTTACTGAAAATTTACCATGAAATTTATTCTGTTGTAAAGTGTAAATTTCTATTGTAATTATAANTATTTTACTCCTGAGAATCTTTAGTAATCAAGCAATCATTAAAAGTTGAGGGGAAGGTTACTGAAAATTTACCATGAAATTTATTCTGTTGTAAAGTGTAAATTTCTATTGTAATTATAAATTTATGTATTCAATATGATTAAATGTTTTAGACAGTTATAAAAAAATAAGACAAGTGAAAATGAAGCATAATGAAGTTTCAGTTTTATTTTCAATAGTTATAAAACTACTTTTCAGAATATATGTGAGAAGCAAAACAAAGAATAGGAATGACCAAATTGGAAATAGAAAAACTGAAAAGAAATTTGGAACAAAGGCATATTACAAAATCTAAAAACACGAAATTAGTGTAACACTTTAGTCTTTCAGTTGCAATGTATAGATCAAAGACCTGGATAATAGATGCTTTATGTATGAAACATATTGTGGTATTTGTAATAATATATTGTAGAAGAATGCTTTGGATTCCATGTATAGCAAAAAGTAACTATCTGTTCATTTTAAAAGAACTTAAGATTGCTGGATCCACAATGGAGACATCTATTGAAATATTTCAGACACAGCTTGAAAAATAAGAACAAGCTTTACCGCAAGGTAGGGTTGATGGCCAACAGGGAAAAGGATGTCTCCTTTGAGATACATTAATCAAAGTAGGAAGTTGATGGGTCTTACTTATGGCACTGACTGCAAAGAAATGGGATTGCAAGGATTGATGGAAGACAAGTTGGGTCTTAATACTTGAAACGAACAAAACTGAAAATGGCAATGATGGATGTAATACTTATGATGTCTTTTGTATTTTAGTATAGAATCTATTTGTTGATAAGTTTTACTTGCTGTATTATATAATTATATAAATTGTAATAAAAGTTTTATGAATTAAATTCACTTGTTTTTTGGGACCTGCTATTAAATGCAACATTTCAATAAGGAATTAAAACCAAGAATATTATGGCATTCTTTAAAAGTATGAAAATATTAATTATTAACCAGTACATTATTCAGTTTTTTATTGGTTCCTTTCTAATTATTTTATGGGAGTTTTGCCATTAAAAATTTTATAAAAAAAATACAAATAGACTGTTTTGTGATTATTCTTCAATTACTTTACTTTCTAAAAGCACAGAAGTTTCACCAAGTTGATCTTTAAACATTATACTTGCTTTGCAGGTGAAGATTTTTTATCATTGAATGATCAAAAGACCTCTTACAATGTATTTAATTGTTAAGATAGTTTATATTTTTAAAAATAAGCAGTATTATAATAATGATTAATTTATCAAGAAAATTAAATTATATTTTACATGTTATATACTATATTTTTAATTTTATAATTTCTTTCTAATACTTCTGTTAAGTATTCTTTATTTAATGTTACTTTCAAAAAATAAGAAAACTCTACATTAATTAAATTCAGGAACGTCATGAATCTTTACAACTTTCTAAAAGTCAAACAGCTTCTTCATTGTCTGATTTGGATGAAGATACTCAACCACTTTGTTCACAAGAATTATTTCATACACCTTTTCACGATGAAATTGATACAGTAAGTTAATATGAATTATTGTTTATATGACATAATTCTAGTATTTTAGTATTTTTACAATTTAATAGTTATAATTTATTTTAAGCTTTATTCTCTTCAGAATAAAGAAAATCAGAAAATAGTTCCTGAAAATCCTATGAGGTATGAATTTTAATAATTAATTTTTAAAATACATATTTATTATTTACTTAATTTATAAAAATTTTTAAGTATACATTTTAGTAATATATAATGTTTAAGAAAATTGTTTTAACACTTTTTACTTAGTTGTTATAATATAACATCAAGTAATGTTTAATATAATTGTTATTAAATCGAACCATCAAATCTCATCAAATATGAAGATATTACTTTCAGAGTAGTACATTATCTATTTTCTGTTTACATTTAAATAATTTTTATATTAAATTTATAAACAAGCACTTTAACATAATTTGAGAAATAAATTAATAATACTTGTTTCTTATAATAAATATTCAGCAAGAATTCATAATTAAAATTGTGAATTATTGTTGAATATTTATTATAAGTTTTGTTTCAACTATTTATGAAGCTAAAAAATTCAGACTGAACCATTTTACTCTGTAATTGAAAAGAAAATCTTGTTTTAATTAAATGTATAAACAGTAGTGATGGAAGCTGTACTTATAACATCCATAAGATCTTTTGCAAACTTACAATTACTTTACAGTCTGATCTCTGTAAAGAATGATAGAACTTTCTAAAGAGAATGTGACGGATGTCAATTTTGTTTATGAAAGTAAAACCCAAATGAATAATTTTGTTAAACAAAGTATTGCTTATTTATTTATATTTATGCATACTGGTTTCACCCATGATGCAAGGAATACAAACTTATACAAATTACAAAAATTAATACACAACAATAAAGAAAACTACAGTAATACTATAATGAATTAGAATTATTACAAAATATTTTTAAAAATTTTTATTATTTATGTATGTATATATATACATACATAAATAATACAAATTTTACAAACCGACAATAAATTAAATGAAATGTCAAACATAATCAAAGTGATCAAAATCAAATTCATGGGAAGAACTATCTGAAGAAAATAATAATAAATTATATATAAAATAACCACACCCACCTAAAAGCAGAAGAAAAATTAATTATCACATCAAGACAACGGATAGTCTCCCAAATTCCTTAGGCTTGAACACACATTTAAAGCAAAAAAATAATGCTACCTATGTACAGAACCAAATGATTCCAAATGCAATGCAGAACAAAATTAAGTGCCGATCTATTTGAATGACAACTGGAACAAAATAATCATAACATTACCTAAAAAAAAATTAACTTTCTGGATAAAAAAAATTAATCAAAGTTATGTAAATTACCGATAAGGTCCAAAGATCTTTCAAAAGAAATAGAAATATTGAAAATACATTCACGTAATTTTGAAAAATTAATACACTTAGCTATCATGTGATACACATTTAAAGACTGATCACCTTTGCAATATTTGCAAATATCTCTGAAAAAATTAAGAGAATTACATCTCACTTGCATTAAAATAGAATTAATATTAAAAGAAATATTATATATTATAAACAAAACTATCAAAAAACAATTTATTTAAATACTTATACCAAATATTATAAGAATTCGAGTTAATACACTTATTCAAATCCGAAATATAATTATCAAAATACAGTAGACCCCCCTATAACGTGGGTTCATATAATGCAGATTCGTATATCGCGGCAAAAAAATTGCTACTGTATTCATATAAAGATGCTAAAAGAGACTCGTAAAATGCGGTAAAACGTCATCACTGACTCGTGTTGCGATAGGATTGGTCGAATCTGGACCAATAGTGGACGAGCAGACGAACTACTTACATGCTACGGAGAGTTTACTATCGTCTGTACAGTATATAAATTAGGTACTGTAAGTCTAATACAGTACTGTAATTTTATACATTTCTTGTGAAAAAAACATTTCTTATTCAATGGCCATAAAAATTATTTCTAGTAATGATGTCTCCAAAGTTCAATGAATTTTTCGCAGAAAAATAACTTATTAGAAAATACGCTCGCCGTTTTGTGTGCTGCTCTGCAACGAAAACAAGCTTAAGCAATGGCCACAATTTTTTGTTTATAGCATAGTTTATATGGATTATTTCCAAAAAATTATACAAATTAGTCTAGAATCGATTAATTTTATGGAAGAAAACCTTTCAAACAGCCGTAGTCCGTAAACTGTACACGTGCCGGGTTGCGATTGGCTCATGTATTTAAGGATTCCTACAACGCGAAATTCTTATAAAGTGGAATGTATCTACCGTGTTATAGGGGATCGACTGTAATTTAATTTCAGTAAACAGCAACAGTTATAATTATTTAATAATTCATCGAAATTAATACCATTATTAACACAGTTATTCCTTAAATTTTTTATCCACAAAAAATCGTTCTTATTTAAAATATAACCAACATTTCCTACTCCATCGCTTCTTATCCAATTCCATTATTTGAAAATCCAATTCAAACATTTATTTAAAACTACAAAGGAAAAAGGCAATAACAAACGCTCCATAAAAATTAAATATCTTGAAGTACACTGAGATAAACCAAATTTTTTAATAAACCTAGTCAACAGTGAATCTAAACATAAGATTGATAACCCCATACCTCAGAAGCATATAACAAAGACAAACTAACAACTGAATTAAAAATCCTCAGGCAATTGCTCATATGTATTACATAACTTAGCTGATCTACACATCTGAATAACTCTGTCAGTTTTAATATAATCATTTCTCTTTTGAAATCTGAATGTGGGAGTTATATTTTCCATTACATTTAAATATTACACCCTGATATTTATACTCCAAAATTACTTGTATCATTTCTAAACCATCATTTATTATATTTAGAAAATTTACCTCCATTAGAAAAAAATGACAACTTTAGATTTTAAAAGATTCAAATTCATATTATTTTCTAATAAATACTTACCTAAAATATTAATAAATCCCTGTAAACCTCTAATGGAATCAGCAATCAAAACAATATCATCTGCATATACCAATATTTTAACACTGGTACTGTTCACATTGATACCTTCATAATCAGAATTATTCATTCATTCAATTAAATCATTTAAATACAAACTAAACAAACAGGACTCAAAACACAACCTTGCCTAACATTGGTAGCTGTAAAAAAAGACTGGGAGCTATCCAAAAACAGCTCCATTTGATTCTAACATTTGATTGTCTATATAATTCTGCAAGCAAAGAAATAAATTTAAAACTCAGGCCATATTTTAAAAGTTTTCTCCACATTAAATTCCTATCTACAGTATAAAAGGTCAAAGACAAATCTACAAAAAAGGCATATACTTTACATTTTTTTCTCATTAGCATCTTAGTAATAAGAGTATGCAAAATGAAAACATTATCTATGATAGAATATTTTTCTCAAAAACCAGCCTGATTCTCAAATAAAATATCATGTAAATTTAACCAAGTTACTAACCTAAAATACAGTATTCTGCAAAAAATTTATGAGACAGGTTAGCAAGGAAATTCCTCTGTAATTACTAGGAATCAATTTAGAGCCACTTTTATATACTGGACACAAAAGAGCACTCCTCCCAATCCTTTGGCACTATGCCAGTCCTCAAGATTCTATCAAAACTTTGATTCTGTTTTTCAAATATTATTTAAATCTAAAATTCTGAGGGATACCATGAACACAGGCGCAAAACCAATTTTTACTTAAAACGTATCTCAACTCAGATTCTGAAATATCCGCATCCAAAATTTCATCAGACTAAGATGAACACTTATTAAAAACTGATAAGTCTAAAGTATAATGGAGAAAAGAACCATATAGAGAATAAAAATCTGTAAACCACACTTCCAAAGAAATATTCACTTTACTATTATTATTTCTAATTTTACACAAATTCCAAAACCATCTATTATCTTCAGAAAATACCAGAATTCTGTGCCGTATACAAAAACTTTTTCTTCTTGGCTAAACAAATTTTCTTAATTAAACTATGAGATAAAACAAATATTCTACGATGTAATTCCGATACACTTTTCTTAAAAACATGCCAGGCTCTATTTCTATTCCTAATCATTAAACCACAATCTAAATCAAACCAATTATTAATATTAATGTGATATTTTGGTTTAAAATTCATATTATAGCAATTAGCAGTCTCAACAATTAACTTACTTACATATGACAAAGAAACAGGCACTCTCCCTGACATGTTTCTCAAGATCACACACAAAACTGTTTACCACCTTGCAGTTTCAGAAAATTCGTTTGTAAAAAATGCCACTATTATTCACTTGAAGTTGCAATGAATTATTCAAACACAATACCAACAGAAAATGATCCAAAAAACAACAATCATCAACAAAAAAGACTTAACACAATCCCAAACACAGGGAGTTACTAAACCAAAATCAATAATTGAAGATTCCAAGTTAGATACAAATGCATGTTCATGTGCTTCATCACCTAACATTCTTCCATGTAATATAATTAAAAATTTAACGAGGCAATATTGAAGCATCTTCTGACCTCTACTATTCACGATAGCATCCTTGGATACCCTATTTAGCAAGATCAATACCAAAGACATCACAAATGCAGTCAGAGATGACATTTCCTTTACCCACCTGAGCATTAAAATCCCCCAAAATAATCAAATTAGAATATTCATTAAAGTAAAAATTAATTAAAATCTCAAAAATTTCCTGCAACTTTGTTCTTGCATGTAAACAAAACATAGCAAAAATTTACTCATGGAAAATATGATATTAATCAAAACTAAAAGTCTATCTCTATAAACTTTAAATACCAAACTTACTCTTATAAATAACAACCATCCATCCTTAAATCTACTCCTATTACAATCCCTAAATGTATTGCCAATAATACAATTATAATCCAATAAGACCTTCAAATTACTTTTGATACTATTAGAAGAATGCCAGGTTTCAGATTAAAAAAAATTAACATTGAATTTCAATAAATACTTCCAAAAAGAATTTGGCTTATTTTTAATACCTGTGCAATTCCAAGCCACAATAGAGGTAGATTGGACCAGTGGTTATGTAGAGATAGGAATAATTTTACTC